GGGGAGGACGCGAACGCAAAGGTTGAACCTGAGTGTGCATCGCGGACGCGTATGAGGGGTCGCGTTCGCGAAGAGAAATGGGGGCAGCTGGGGACCCCAGGCCGTTGGTCTTCACGTTCGCGAGGAAGGCGTCACGTTCGTGATGTGTTGAGCTAGATAAGGTACACATTCGCGAGTGGGGTATCGCGTTCGCGTAGAAGAAATTCCCGGGCCGAGGCAGTTGTGCTTCGCGAACGCGAGGGTACTACTACGTTCGTGAAGAGGAAAATCTGGGCAGGCAGTGTTATATGTTATATTCAAAATCGAGGGTTTGAAACCATTTTTAATATTTTGAGCTAGAGACCACGGATTTGGGCGATTTTTGAAGGCATTTTCAGGGAGTTGATTGGGGTAAGTGTTCCTCACTTGATTTTGGTTAGATTCCATAATTGTATCTTGATTTCTATCATCTAAATTGGGAATTGGGGTGAAAAATTGAGGGGGGAGGGGGGAGGGGGGAATGGAAGAGTTCTTAAGAGAGTAATTTGGGGATTTGAGGAACCAAATGAGGTCAGATTTTGATGAAATTGGTATGGGTAGACTAGTGAGTGAATGGGTTTTCTAGTTTTGTAATTTTTGACAAATTTCGAGACGTGCGCCTGGGGGCCGGGTTTGAGCCGATTTTGGGTTCTGGGTCTAATTTAGTAGTTTTCCTTGTGGAATACATTCCTTTAGCATATATTGATGGTATTGTACTGGTTGTGAATATATTCGGAGCATTTGGAAGCCGAATCGAGGGGCAAGAGCATCGTGGAGTAGAGATTTGATAGGTTTGAAGTAAGTAACGATTGTAAATCTAGTCCTAAGGGTATGAAACCCTGGATTTTGTGTCATGTGACTATTTTGAGGTGACACACATGCTAGGTGACGGACGTGTGGGCGTGTACCGTTGGGGATTGTGATTTGGTCCGTCCCGTATCAACTATAAAGCTGAATATTTTGTTGAAACTACATGCTTCCTACGTGTTTTGGCAAGAATTTCTGTAGATCAGGCTGGATGCCATGTTTAGGCCTTATGCCAGTGTTGTTTGGACCCTTAGAGGTCTTTTCTTGCTATCCTCTCATTGTTTTCGATTGGAAATCTATACTCAGTCATGCTTATACTTATTTACTGCATAACTCAGTCTCTATTACTTTATTCTGATGCATCATATAAATGCTATTTGGGCTGAGTACTTTGTTCTCTTTCTGAGAGCCCGAGAGGCTGGAGAGGTTGATGACTGAGTGAGGCCGAGGGCCTGATTGTGAGGATATTTATGGGATCGGGCTGCACGCCGCAACATGTTTTATTGATTTATGATTGAGTGAGACCGAGGGCCTGGTTAATTTATGCTATGATTGGCTTGTTATAGCTCTTGGGCTGAAGGAGCCTCTCCGGAGTCTGCACACCCCCAGTGAGCGCAGGTACCTACTGAGTGCGAGTGCTGAGTGCTGAGTGCTGAGTGACTGAGAGGCATGAGTGATGGTGAGGTTTGACCGAGGGGTTGTATACGAGTGATGTTTGCCCGAGGGGTTGTTTATGATTTCATCATTTTGCTCACTTTTGCATTGAACCTTTGTTCGAAAACTGTTGAAAAATGTTTTTAAATAATTTTACTGAAACTGAATTTAAACAAGGTGATTTGATTCAAACTATGGTTTTAAAAGCGTGTCGTATTTTATTGAGTTTCTATGATATGAACTTTACTTGCATTATTGCTCGTCACTACTTCTCCGTCTTTATTTACTGTTGTTACTTACTGATTTGGCGTACTCACGATACTCTCTGCACCTTGTGTGCAAATCCAGGCGTTTCTGGGCACGGTAGCGGGTATTGATTATTTAGTTGCAGATCCATCAGAGTTAGCAAGGTAGCTGCCCGGCGATCGCAGCCCTGCTTTCCTCCCTCTTTATCTTCCCTTAGTTGTAGTCAGTTATTTCCAGACTATGTTGGTTTTGGTATTGTCAGACGGTAGTAGTAGATGCTCATGACTAGTGACACCCCGATGTCGGGCTTTCATTTCTATACTTTTATTTTGATGTGAACTCCTTTATGAAGGTTTTATACTAAATATATTTCCAGACTATGTTAGTTTTGATATTGTCAGACGGTAGTAGTAGATGCTCATGACTAGTGACACCCCGATGTCGGGCTTTCATTTCCGTACTTTTATTTTGATGTGAACTCCTTTATACTAAATAGCTTTGGAATTATCTTTTAAAAGAAAATATCGATTTATTTTGGTAATGTGTCGGCTTGCCTAGTACCACGATAGGCACCATCACGACAGGGTTAGTTTTTGGGTCATGACAGTGGTGGTGGCTATATCCTTCTTGGAGATGAAGAAGTGGGTCCCACATGGAAGAAATAAAACAAAAAATATAATTTCAAGAGCTTTCACATGCCCAAAGTTGTGTGAAAATCAAACATTTTTCCATGTCAGCTCAGGGTGTCCAAGAGACACACCTGTGCCAAGTTTAAATGTCTGCTTGACCATTGAGTAAGTTGGTGCGTGAGATAGACATCTGAGGCCAACTTCAAGTGTATCTTTATGTATTTTGCCTTTATTTTTCTTACCCTTCTCTGTTTACTCTCTCTTATTTCTCCTTTCTCTCTCCAAATTTAGTGTTTACCCCGCCTGTCAGCCATACTTTTTCACACCAATTTTGCTCTTATCTCTTCCTGCTAAATCATTAAATAGGCATTGCTCATGGGTCTCTAACAAATTCTATTTATTTTTAAGCTAGAATAGGAAACTATATTATTAAAAGAGTTAATACCCTCAAACCCGCTTAAACTATATAATCTTTGTCAGTTTCCTACCTAAACTATCTAGTGTCTCCGTAAATCCCCTGAACTATATCCCCCTTCATAATAAAACTCTCCCGTCGTTTATGTGGCATATTGTGTAAAATAAGTCGCCTAAGAGTGCGTGAAGGGTGACAATAACCATTAAAATGGGCCCACCTGACAGCAACTAACGACTATTTAGCCCTTTTTTTTAAAAACTTATATTTTCTCCTCTTTTTCTTTATATTTCACCTTTCTTCTCTGTTTTTTCACCTTTCTTCTCCATTTCTTCATCAATCCATTTGAAATTCTCTCTCTGTTGTTATTGTTGAGTTTATTTCTTATCTTTATCGTTTTATCCATCCTTCATTTTACCCAAATTTATTTGAAAGAAGGGACACCCTTTCAAGTATTTGTAATAGGGAATAAAGAATAGGACTTATATTGAAGCTATCTTCTTTAACAGCTAAGGTATTTCCTTCAAACAATCTTCAGAATCTTCAGTACCCTAAATCCTAATTCTTTACACTGATTCACCAGCAAAACCTTAGATTTAATCCTGATTTCGAATAGCGGCAATAGTAGACAGAGAATCGATGGTAGAAACCCTGATTAATGGAGAGAATCATCACTTAGAAAAGGCGTCGATGAGAGAATTTTTCCGATGAGAGCAAAGAGACCATACTGTTAGAGGAGTAAATGACGGACTTGAGTAACAAAATCCCATTTTTATTTTTCCACGTAACTAGATTAACATATACTAATTAAGCATGTTTTTATGATTAACGTTATTAATTATCTACGTGGATTGTCACATGGCAGGTTTTAAAAATTATTTAGAGCGTGTATCATACACACTAGTAAGAATGAGACGAGGGATTTTATTATGAAGGGGGATATAATTCAGGGGATGTTCGGGGACACTCGATAGTTTAGGTAGGAAACTGACAAAAGATTCTATAGTTTAGGCGGGTTTGAGAGCATTAACTCTAATGGAAAAAAAAAAAAAAAGACTTACCACACATTCCAATTTAAGTTTGCGAGGGTAGTATTGGTAATTCCATTTTATTGATCCTTACTTTAGGTGTAAGCAAGTTTATAGAGTAATATTTGAAAATGAGATGATATAAATGTGTTGTAGGCAAGCTGTTGAGAAAACGGGTAGTTTAAAAATTAAATGAAAAACATTGAGGACTTAAACCTAAGAAATAAGGTGTAAGAGAAAATAAGACAGTTTTCTAAGGAACATCGAGTCTTAGAGCATGTTTGCCCAAGCTTCTCGGAAGCAAAAAGCATATTTTTCTTGTTAAAAAAAAATACATTTTGAAAAATTTAAAATGTTTGGTTAAAATAAAAAAGTGCTTTTGAGCAACAACAGAAGCAGTTTTTCTACTTTTAGGGAGAAACTATAAATTCTAATTTCATCCAAAGAGCAGAAGCAAAAGCAGAAAATTAATTTATTCAAGACAAAAGTATCCTTACATTAAATTTATAATTTTCAAATTATCCTTCACTAGTTTAACAAATCTATTTTCTTTTCCTCTTTTACCATACATTTCTTTTCTTTTTTATTCTATCATATTTTTATTCTTTTTCTCCTATTTCTCTTTGGAATATTTTTTCTACTATAAATAGATTTCTTCTTTTATATAGTGATTTATAAAAATAGATTTTTAATTTATATTGAGTGATATATTTTGATATATTTATATTTGGAATAACTATATTTTATAATGATTGAATATTTAAATTATATTTTAATTTAATAAATATTTAAACTCATTTATATTTTTTAAATAATAGTAATTGCAAATTAAACCTTTACGATCTTTTTTCGTAATTTGGTACTCAAAAAGTACTTTTTGGAAAGATTGGCCAACACAATTTGCTTGCAAAAAGCACAACTTAATGAATTGACCAACCACAAACTACTACTTTGCAAAACTACTTTTTTAAAAAGCACTTTTATTCTGTAGTTTTTGGGGGCAAACGGGCTCTTAATTTCCCAACCGAAGTGATTGTTGATCTGACATTAGGCTTAGCAAAACAAGAAGGACGAATTTGTTCATTTGCAGATATACGAAGGACTGAAATTGCAATTTCCCTTGTCAATCATCACATTAATTTCAAAATAAATAGTGTCAAATTATGTACAGTATCATAACTAGCAAGATTAACAAAATCGCTAGTAAAAGAAGGAAAAAGTCTGCTATAATAGTCTGATCTCTCGTTACCAACAACAACAAAAAAAAAAAAAAAAAAATCATTTTCATCAAAATCTGTTAATCTGATCTAGAGAAATGGTTTACGTGCCCAAAACCTCGACGTCACAAAATACAAACAGGAGAAACCAGTTCGGAAGGAGAAGGTTGGGATAGCTAGCTGACAGGCAGTCAAGTACAGAGTCCTTTCATCTCCAAGTGATAGCTTCAGATTTGCTAGTCCTCATCCACCAATCAGTCGACTGATGGCTTGAAACGTCCATTGGGGACGAACAAGGAAATGGTAATTCTTTCACAAAGTTCAGATTAATTCATGCCCATGACGCTTTTCCAAAATACGCCCTACCGCCCACAGGTACAAAGTAATTCTGTCCACCTATATAAAAATATCCTAAGATTTTTTCGTCTACGCTTGAATTTGAACCTTGATATCCATATTTGCATCCATTTCATTGACCACTAATCCACAAGGTACAGTAAATGATAATTTTTGTAGTATCCTTTTTCTCCTCCTATTTCTTTTTGGTTGGTTTGGGAGGGGGGGGAGTTTCAATAGGGGTTCAGAGTTTTTTATGGAGTCAGGGGAGGGGATGAAGATTGAAAACAGTAGAGTAAGGAGAAAATAAAAGAGGAATTGCTTGCATCTTTTTTTTTTCTTTTCTTTTCTTTTTTGTTGATCTCCCAAAAAAAATAGAGAGAAGTGAAGTTTACATTTCTGTAGGGGCAGAATAGAAGAAAAAGATCTGCCTTCTCTGAATCTATACATAATAACTCAGACCCAACTTTCGTCAAGTAATAGCTATATTATTGACCCAACCATCTACGTAAAGAAGCCCAGCCCCCTACTAGGAAGGAAGAAACGTAAGACTAAAAATTACATATTCCTCTAGAATCACTAAAATTAGCAAGCTGTGAGAGGGTGTAATGGTTAGATCTCCTTGTGGAGGAAAAAAATTTGTGGAAAGTGTAAACCTAATTCATGAACTTTCGGCAGTTTGGAGCTTTACACAGGCAAGGAACTTTGAATTCTTCACATTCGTCTGGATCAAACAAGTAGTCATACCTGTCATTATTGCGGCCGAATAAAATAAATCAGGGGCAGACTTGCTAATGTTCAGGCATTAGTGTGTGTGAGTGCAATGTGAGAGAGAGAGAGAGAGAGAGAGAGAGAGAGAGAGAGGGAGGGAGAGAGGGAGAGAGAGAGAGAGAGAGAGGTACGTTAATTCATCACCAGCAGACACATTTGTCTTTGCGATAAGTACAACCCGACTCTCATCAGCTCCTACACTCATGATTCTTGCATAACAGTTTGGCATGCACTGTGAAAATAACAAAGCAAAAGCGCAGAAATAGTCAAGTACGAGGAACCATCAATAAAGGTAACCTGAGAATGAAAATATTGCATCTATTGACTTGCTAAATTTGCTGACTACAGATAAATTATAAGTAGAAGAAATATGATTTCAATGGGGCACATAATTCATAGCATTACCAGGTGTAAGGAGACTTTGCCATGATAGGATCGTACAAAAATATTTAGAGTATATTGAAAACATATTTAGCAATCAAAATGTACACTGAAGCATATTTTATCTGGTTCAAGATAAGGCTCCAGTCAGAAAAATTTTCTCTGATATTAGATTAGGTTCAGATTACAAACAAGTTTAGACCTAATATAATCTTGAGCGGCATGATTGGTATTCAATTCTTTTGCCCTGTTAAAATCATCAATGACATTAATTTCATTAAAGCAGTAACTCCATAATGCAGTCGCTACTCCCATTTGTTATTAGCCGAGCAAAACTATTATCAACTAAAAAGCACTAGGTGATGGGAAGAGCTACCCAGTACATGCGATGGAACTGCGATTATTCTTCTTTATCATTTGCACTCATTTGGTGATTCCTCGGTGAAGCATGACCTTCGCATGCATATATACTTGCAATGTATAAATAGGTGGGTTGGCCTGGATTTAATGACCGTTTGTACCAGCTGTTGGGCTGACATTTTACAACCAGAATTCCTTTTCCTTTTATTTTTTTCCTTTCAGATTAGCAAAATTTGAAATTCCACATTTCTCTTTATCCAGCACCACTTTAGTCAGCTCCAAAACCAATGTAATGGGATTGAAACTGATCTCATTCAATTTTAGTTCACTAGTCTTTGCTTTTTCATTTGCTGGTTTTGATAACAAGAAGCAGCACAAAGTTAATACTATATGAAAAAGAATAGATAAAAAGGAAACTATGATCACTTTCTCAAGGAAAAAGAAAAGGATTGACAAGATCTAAGAGAAGAGAAGCATCTAAAACGATGAAAGAAAAGTGGTACTTACTGAATGGTTAATTAAACGTGCAATGTTCCCCTTATCAGTGGCGTCCACCACAACTTCTTCACTAATCTTAAATAACTGCATAAGATAATTCAATGACATTAATTGGTGCTTGTGACCACGCACGGGTTGGAGAGAGAGAGAGAGAGAGAGAGAGAGAGAGAGAGAGAGAGAGAGAGAGAGAGAGAGAGAGAGAGAGAGAGAGAGAGGAGTGAAAAGAACCTACATAGCAATCTTTTCCCTCAACACGATACCGTGCCTCCCTCAAATCTGCAACACTGCGTCTGATCTGCTCACCACGATACTCAAGAACCTGAAACAAGTAAATGCATGCTCTACTAAGTAACTTCTAGATTTGATGCTGACGTAATCAGAAATACGAGCACTTCGGTCAGTAAGTGATTATTGAGATGAAAGATAATCATGTAGCATACTCAAGCAAGGAGGAACTAGTTCTCATTAGAAATGTTCAGAGGTTACGACACAAAAATCATTGACTATCAAGAAAAGCTCCTAAACATGAAATGTAGGACTCCATTTCCAAGTGATTACTCGGACTGCCATTTCTTCCTTTTCATAATAATATGATCAATGAATTGACTATGGGTAACCAGTAAGAACTAAAAAAGATTAAACATACCATCTCTCCTTCTGGTATCTTTATACGAGCAAAAAGACCCCATCTATGTATCCCAGATCTACCAAAGCAAACACGGTCATTTTCTGTTCTCTGCAATTGCAAAATAAGATGAAGATGCTGAGAATATGTGCTGAAATGCTGTTAACTTGATGAGCAGCAGTGTTAAAAAGAATGCCTGTAAATCACGAAGCCGCTCCCTAAAGGTAGAAAAAGTTTTGGATCCCTTGACTTCCTGTTAAAAGGAAGAACAGAATAATTAAAAATAATTACCATAGAAGCTAAGAGAGAAACTAGTGACAGGAGAACATTAATTTACACAGGAAGGAGGGAAGGATATGGGAGGGAGGAAGAAATTTACTTTAATAATGTTCAAACTTCGTATTGAACTTGAAGAATGGTGACAAGGTCCCCTCACGTGGTGGGCAATGGCAGATTCTCCTGCTCCCTGACAAGCAAAAAATAAGGAGATTCATAAACCATTTAGGATGACTAAACAACAGACACCAGCTAGTTAAAAATTTGTGATAGAAGGCAAATGAGTGAATGTCAACTAAAAAACTTAAACCACAAACATAACATACCAATCAATACCAGGTAGCATAACTAGAAAATTTAAGGTAGTTAAAAAGCACGACTAAAAGCAATAATGGTTATTGGACTTATAAATAGAACAAACCACGGAAGATATTAAGTATCAAATAATAAGCAAATTGTAGATAGATATCAGAACAAAGTTTAGTTCTTATATCTCTAATGTCTTCTCGTGCACAGAGATGCTAATAATGAATTCACACATTAAGAGTTTCATGGTTCAAAAAACCAAAAGGGAGCAACGCTTTTCAGTTGCCTAGAGTCATAAGGGCGCTATTTAGGGAAAATGCGGACAAGTTTAGGGGGCTGCTTACGACTTTGGCCTTAAATAAAACATAAGTTCTTTCATTTCCTTCCTGTGTATATTAATAAACTTGGCTTAATCAATCATAACATTGTGTATTGGTAACATGGTGTAATACCTTATCACGCAATCGATTATAAACACGACACCTTGCTGCAGAGAATGGCTCGATCTCTTCTATCTCTGCTGCTGGAGCTTCCTGGAGTTGCAGTCTACTTGTTGAAATTAGACGTGAACCTGTGTGCTTACTGTTTTGAAGAAGGCTTCTAGCAGAGAATACCCCTTTGGGAGTTTGAATAATGAGAACGGTATCCGGATTGGGAGCCCTGTAAAATTGTGAAGCCATTAGAAGCAGTTATTAACAAAGATACACTTGGCATTTTTTTTTCAGGTGATTGGCAACACAAGTTAGACCTAAAGCCCCCATTAAATGTCATTAATTGAATAATCAAGTATCCATTATTCTGACTGAAAAGTAGTTCTCATAAATGACTAACTTCCTCTTTCTTCCCTTTCTCAGACTCCTTTCTTAATTTTGACTGGCAAAAAAAAGAAAAAAAAAAGAAAAAAAAGAAATGGAGCAGTACCTGTGGTAGGCACAATATGAAACCATTCTTGTGACCTGTTTTCCATTTTTCTCCAAGCAGTGCAGCTGCAGTTTGAAAAGTATTAACATCCAGGATCAAATGACAAAGTATAAGGATAGGGGCAAATATAGCTGAACTGGTGAATGCGTTGACTAAACAACATAAAATGAACTAGTCATCATGTCAGATTTACAAATCAGATGTAACAGTACCCAAAATGTGCTGGCAGTTAAGGCATTAGAATAACTGATTGAAAATGGATAATCAAAACGCCAAAAGGAAGGATGTACCGATGGAAAATAAAAATGGAAAAGATCTGCATGTGCACATGCTTGTTAGCCGAATGATGAATAAACAGTTACCATAACACATGTTATAAATATTTTATACACTAACTGGACAGCTCTGTTTCCTTTATGTGGGCACTAAAAGGAATGATAGGCTCTGAAACAGGAGGAAGTTACATACTCTGGAAAGTACCTATTAAATTCAATGACAATAACAGATTAGATAAGTAACCTCACCTCCATGCGATACCCTGCTCTTGATGCGCACATAGCATGGTAATAAGTCGAGCACTTGCAACATTGTGTGCAGGAACCATGAATTTGTTTGCAGATCACACATATCTGAAATTTACCAAGTTAATGCTCACTTCAGATTCAACAGGAGAGTTCTTGCTATAACAAAGTGTTTTTCCATTTTGATTTGAGATTCAGATCTAAAGAAAGCCTATATTAACTTATATTAATTGGAACAACAACGCCAAGTTGATAGCATGTTACGTTATAGATGACAATTGGGTGACCAAGACAAAGTAAAGTCTTCTAATGTACATTTGTTAATATATATCAACCAAATAATTTGATTAGGTATGATACGATCCGGAGAGTCAGTGTTGGTATGATCGCTTTAGAGGAGCTCTTTCCACTCTTATAAGATATCGATTACAATGTTTGCCTCTAGTAGCAATTGGCTCCCCCTTAACAAGGAAGGCTGAGGTATTCAAATTGTCAAGTTGCCATGTCCATTATGAGGTCTGAATTAGTAAACAGAAACATTTAATTTATAATATTATGTCCTTTAACTTCGTGAAGTAAACCAGCACCTAAATCATCAGTATGGATAATGTCAGTTTTAGCTGGATGAGAAACAAATATTGCTACAGAAACTTTTCATTATATTCTGTTACCAGAAACAAAAATGAATACAAAAGAAAGATGTAGGGTTATGAACTTCATCTTAAATTTCACTTAAAACCCATTTCAGATTTAAAAAATTAGGTGAGAAAAAATCAGTACAGACATCTTCAAATAATTTTGCTTCCTCCGCCTATCCAGGATAAAAATCTCATACTGCAAATGAGATATGTTACATAATATTATATCTTTTTATAAGAAGGTAAAAGGCTATGTTACATACTATTATGCCATAACACAGTATTTTCTCCATCACTCAAGCCACTTTCCTTCTGGAGATAACACTAAAGTGAGATCACTGGATTTGCTCCACAACGTGGAATAACATTTGCCCAAAACAAAAAGCTTACCTTCACAAAAGAATTTGAAGGGATTCTCAAAATTCCAACAGCAGGCTCCATTTTCTCATCACTAGCAAAACAAACTTCAGGTTGGAACCAAGCACAAGTAACATGAACCCACAATGGCTTAATATCTGTGGGCTTCAAAGCGCCTCCTAAATTAAGCAACAATATAAGGTTAGTAATTGCAGGTGAAAGGAAATAGTTTGAAAACAGTTTGGCCAGATCCAGCAGCACTACAATAAATAAATAATAGTAATTAGTGTCATGCCTTTCACAGGACAAAGACAGCATTCCCGTTCAATCTCAGGAGTCTCGCAAGATCTGCAGACCCACGAAGTGAAATCCCGAACATTTCTTGCTCCATAGCATTCTTGATGAACAGCTATTTGACACCTGATGAAAAATAGAATTTCAGTACATTTGTTTTCTTTAAGGAAAAATTTGGAATATCATCTTAAGATTAAACAACCTTTGCAAAAGAAAAATAAACAAGGAACCAAGAAATTACTTGATAAACCCACCAAAACATATACTCCTAAATAAAACCTAGCGCACACATATCCTATTTCAAATCAAAATCTTTTCCAATGAGAAGTAACCAGAAGTTGGTATTCAAATCAAATACTAACAACGAAAGTCTCCAAAATTGAACACATATGAATAGTTTCCACTAATCTCCTACCAGGCAGATTAGCTTTTTGAAGTTTGGTCATACCTAATGCATATAATAATTTTGTTGTAGTCCCAATCTTCAACCCATCGACATACTGCACACCTTTCTGTGGTCCACTTTGCATAAACAGGTTCATACTTTTCTGTATCATTGAAGAAAAGAATTGACAACTGATTAGTGCTTTTTAATTAAAGCAGCAGATGTGGTTATGGGCCATGGGACATAGCCAAAGTGTAGTAATACAGGTATGGATGCAGAGGTCAGGAGCATCTAAAGCATAAATATTTGGATTCAGATCCAGACAGAAATATGAATACGGGTATAAGGGGGATTCAAATATTTAGGCTTGTCTAAATTGTTATTTTTTTGAAGAAAAAAAAAGTGGTTACTAGGTAGTGTCTAAATATTTAGCACAATTCAGTATTGTTACTTAATTGGAACAAATAGTGGCTGCCAGAGTTATGCGACACAAAGATGCAGAGGGACACAAATGACAACCAACGAGCAATAAGACACGCAGGGATGATGATTTCAAAAATTAAAAGTAACATTTATATCTTCTGATCCCCAGTTCAAGTTCATGCACAACCTAAATCCATTTGAAGAGCATGGACATCTATTATTTGATGTTATTATCATATTAAAAGTTTGTAGAGTTATAGAGTCTTCTTTCTATAGATGATCGATCCACCTCTCCGCTTCTATATGTAAATTTAAATTCATCTTTAAAAAATAAAAATTTCTTCTCCAACAATATGATTAGGACCATATAAAAAATGTGGAGGGAAAAAAAGGAATTTGCTGAGACATGATTGAGGACAATATAAGTGATAATAATGAAAAAAGGATTAGAACATGGTATGTTGACAAGTATCCTGCTTCTAACACATATCTTCTAGTATGCTGGCACAATGCCATTTTAAAAGTACATATGTTGCATAGATGTGGAATGTCTCTCCCAAAACAAGTAAATAAAGCAAAGCATGTACCTCGGAGAAAACTTAGCAGCTTTTGTCTCCGTACTTTTAAAGGAGGACGTTTAACCGATTTGGTAGAAACAACATTCTGTGCATGATACTCTGCCATTTCTAGCATCTGTGGAGCAAAACAAGATGTTACCTGCCTTACTTCATTTGTGAATCAAAAGACCGTAGCTTACAGAATGCAACTGAGTTGTGACTTCAGATAAAATATTTTTGAGAATGAACCCATGCCATGTAAAATTGTGAGAGCACTGTTGCCCTTATCAACCAAAACAAAAAAACGCGAGAACACTTTCCAATAAAATCTTCATAATTGACAGGTTATGAAAGAACACAGTTTTTCCCATGAAAAGCAAAGGAATGATATCTGCTAACGCATGAATCAATTTCAGATCAATTCCCAAATGTCAATAGTTAAAATACTCTTAACAATACTATTTATCAAAACACATTTTTGAAGTTCAAATTCTAGAAGAGAAAGCTATTACATCAAACATATGACGAACCTCAATAATGCATCTTATATTTTTTACTGCCAGTAATATTGAAGAAATCAAACTTCCTCTTCATACACAGTGAGATCGTGTCATGTGCCCATGATGACATTCGATGTACTTATTCCTAGAAAATAAATGCAGCCACCACAGACTGAAACAACGGCACACATAAAAGGAAGCAATGGGGCATGTCAACTGCTCTTAAACTTACGGGTGAACTAATTTGCAAAGCTGTTACATCAAAATCTTACCAACATAATTCTATTGATAAATTACAATTGTATGATAGTTCCTTATCAAAGAACTACTATTGTATGATAGTATCCAATAAAAATGTGTAGTCCATGTCAAATCATAAGCAGAATAAGAAACTGAAGAATACAAACCCATTGTTCGAGAGGTAGCAAAGAACCCTTCACCCTGACACTGGTCTTCCAGTTTTTTATTTTAGAACCTGTGTGCCTCTCCCATTCACTAAGTGCCTGTTTTTCTGCTCCACAATATCCACACTTGCAAACAACTCTGGAACAAAAAGAAAGGAGAATATGATTGCAAAATATATGACCTGAGTCATTGGTAAGCAAATCCCTGATCTCTTAATGCTGGAACTTGTCTTGAAGAGAACAAAGGTCCACCCAGAAAAATCACATGTAAACAATTTGATAGATCAAATTTCCTAACTGCTACTTGCTTTCACGTTCACTGTTTTGCATTCCACAAAGGTTAGGTAGAATTTTTTAAATAAGACAAATGTTAGATAGAATTAATCAGTTAATTCCAAAAGTTACCATCTAAGTGTTCAAACCTCCACTTAATTATAAAATCCGAGATTTATAAAGGAAACACTAACAAACACAGAGTAAGATTCAGAAGTATGAGAGCTGCTACAGGGAAAAAACAGGTATTTAAACTCTTTATACCAGACAGACAACTTAAAGGAAGTGATGCACAGCATCAGACAGAGCCAATCGCTGGTGAGTGATAAAGAACCAGTGGACATAACGAAGGCCCATATACACTTACAGGTGAAGCCTTGGGAAATAAATGCCTTCCACTCCTGAGCAGATAACAGAAACCTTGTCTGGCAATGCTACTGTCTGACAATCATTTTTGTTGTTTCTGAACCAGGAAACAGTAAATAGTTAGTTCAAACCACAAGCTTTCAACTTAAACACAACTGATTGATGAGACTAACTTGGCCTTAGAATTCATGTTTTCTGAGTCAGACAATTCAAAGTTAAATCTTGCTCTGCATTCTGGACAATAGTAATCAGAGGTACTCAGCTCCTGAAAAAATATGGACAGCAGATTATGTTATCGCAAAGTAGAAAATAAAACATGGATATTGAAAGGGAAGAAAAAGTTTCAGCAAGATTGAGATACCTTGAAATTTTCTCTTGAGATTTTGTCACACTCAGCATGCACCCACACTTTGCAACCATCACAGCGTACCTAAACCAGCAAAGAAACTATTGTTGTTTCTATGAAGAAATATCACCATAAGTAATTCATGGAAAGAAATAGGAAGTGGTTACGAACAACCAGCAGAAGATAACAGGTTTCTCACCCAAGTTCCACTATCTGAGGGATTACGGATCTTCTTACATATGCCACAATAATGTTTTATCTTCTTTAGCTGGAGTATAAGACACAAATATTACTATCATGACATCAACATCTAGATCATCAAAGAAAGATAGAAAGATAATTTGGAAGCTGTAACAGACCCTAGCACAAGCAGTACACAGACGATTGCTCCTGAGAGTTGAGTCATTCCATTTCCTGGATGGCTTAGAAGAAAGACTCGATCCACAAGCGTCGCAAGAGTCAAGTTCTTTCTTCTTCAATAATTCCTGCACAAAGATTCTAAACACGATAAACTTACAGGAAGTACCCTATAATCTGAGACATTTGTTTCTTTCTTTTGATTTTAGGGGCTGCACGTAAGGGGAAGTACTGCAGTGAAATTTTAGCAGAATCATTCCACCCAGATCAGGATAGGAATGCTAACAAGAGGACCTCAATGGTAGTATGTTAGAAAATCAGGAAAAAAGCCTGAGTGACTCTGAAACGTGCCTGGCTTGGAGAGTTACACTCTTGGTCCTGATTTGAGTCAGAGACCTCAAATGCTCCTCGGGGAAGAGACTGGAAATAGTCTATATTGCCAGCCGCTGCATTTAGTTCAACCATCAACATCTCAATAAAGCCATTTTCAGCTAGAAATGCCTCTTCTATGGCAGAGCGAAGATCACTCGGCGTGCTGTCGTTCAAGTTAGTCTGCCCCTGAAACCTAAACAAAGCAAAGGTTCACCACACCCTGACATTACTAAGAAATTATATCAACATTAACAGACATAGCTGCCACAGACCTGTCTACATATTCCAGAAACGGAAATAGCATCCCACGTCTAATCCATGCATAATCCTGCTCATAAAAACATGTCATCTTAGTAGATACACCAATACCTCATACTTCGGCACTTTCGCATAGTGGGAGTCTGCATAATGCACAAAAGATAAAGTCTTACCCTTTGCGTGCCATTTCCAGAGTAACCAAAGAACATGACACAGACAGCGCCAGCAACTCGGAAATTTAGAACCTGCTGGGGAACTTGCGTTTCTGAATCAAGGACAACTGCGGGCCAAGCAGGACAATGTCTTCCAGATATTGCCCAAACTATGTCACCCGAATTAAAATCCTTACCACCGAACTTATTAGCTCTCTTCCCTCCCTCCACCTTCACCGTTCCATTAATGCCGCTTAAATCTATAGCTTCATCGAAATGTGTGTCGTCTGCATCTCCCAGTCGCTCATGTAATGATGTGAGTGTACTGCGAGAACTAGAATACTTCCTAGTAATATCCAAACGCTTTGAACCATTATTACACCCAATTTCACGTTTGGCATTTTTAAAGCTAAGCTTTTCTCTTGCATCCGGGTTAAATTCAGGGTCCGAAGTTGATTCTTTAACACTAGTAGTAGTTTTGCTCTTCTCTTTCTTCCAATTATCAAGAACCGAGTCATTGAATCTAGAAGGAAGTACCTGTACACGCCCCCGTGAAGTCCTCACTAGTGGCGGCCGTGAAGCCTCCTGTACTGGATTGCTCCTCCTCTGTTTTGGCAACTCAGCCACATCGGGGGCGATGCGGGAAACCTCCGTGCACCACGACGCAGCTGCTCCGCCGTTACCTCCGGCGGCGGCTAAAATTCTTTGAATACCGTATCCATTGAACGGAATTATACCAGCAGCGGCAACATCACGGAGCAGATGCAAAGGGTAATATCCACCACTGCTACTACTCTTGCGCTTTTTCCGATTACCGGAAAACTCGTCATCGGAGTCACTCACTCGGCACCGCTTCAAACTCGGCATTACCGTTTTCAAGCTCTTCTTTATAATCATTACTGCCCCAAACCCAAATACCAAATTCAGCCGTCAATTCTATCCAAAAATTAAAAAGACCTCAAATTCCTCAATCCGAAACCCTAATTTTGACTGAACAGACCCAGCAAATTGTTTAGAGAATACAAGAAGAATCAACCGAAGTAACAGAGAGCGCGAGAAAATTGAAGTAGAATCCAATTACAACAGCGAAAAATAGGGAGAAGAAGATAATATGAGAACTGAAATTGAGAAGAAGATCTGATTAGCTGAAAGAATAGGGATCTCTGCTCCACCAAGTTTCCACAAAACTGTAGATGAGAGAGAAAGAGAGAGAGAGAGAGAGATTCAAGGAAACGATTTTATATTAAAATGTGTGTGAAAAATGTGAGAAATTGACTGGGGAAATTAAATTAGGAACAATTTCATTTTGATGAAATTATACATATAGGTTGTATGAATGTATAGATAGACTGCAAGATAGAGAGGAAAAGGAATAAGGATGACTGACAAAGGGGGTGGGTATGAGGAGTTGGCGTTAAGAGTAAAGCAAAGTAATATAGTAATGCTATAGAGAGAGAGAGAGAGAGAGAGAGAGAGAGAGAGAGAGAGAGAGAATTGCCAACTTGACTCAGACGTGCTTGGAGTTAAAGATTTGCATTTTGGTTCGAGAAACATGGCTAAATTGAAGTTGGTTTTAACGTAAGACATGGCGTTTTTTATTATTTTGGGTGTTGCAGAGGTTGGTGTTTTTGTCACAAGAATGCTCTCCAAGAAACTTGGAAGCAAAAAGTGACAATGGATAATTCATGTCTTGTCAATTTTGTTTTATTGTTTTTGTTTGTTTTTTATTTTATTTTTTCTCTGAATAGGATCAGAATTTAAAATGCTTGAATTTGATTCTCGTAAAAAAATAAAAAGTAGGGATGCTTCAATTTTATTGTTTGATTTTTCACTAGAGATATTTTGCCAAGTTCTGCAAGTAGTGAATTACGACTAGATAATGGAAGCAAGAAAGAATTTAGAGGTGAAAGCTACGATAATGTGATTGAAGAAGCTTTTATTTCTTCCTTGACCAAAAAGAAGGAACGGAAGCAGAGATTGAACATTTGATTAATCTTTTAATTCGTTTTTGAGTAATCATCCCGTCCAAAAATTTAAATTGGTGTTGGATAAATTTTACCGGTCTAAATGTAATGATCCAATTCCTAGTTGAAAGTGCAAGTTGGAATAAGAAATTTTGTTAATGAATCTAAGGTGTGGATTGTAAACACATAAATAGCCATGGACTGGTAAAAATTATATACTTGCAGGGAATTTTTTTTTTTTTTTTGGGGGTGGGGTGGGGGGTGGGGGTTGGGTTTGGTCGTCTTGGTTGGGCTTATGGTGTTGGTGTAGCCATTATAGAAGAAAGAGTTTACTTTTCAAATCGAATTGGGTATTGAAGAAGTGAAAATATTTGTAGTAGAGACGAGTCTTAAAATAGCTAGTTATTCACCGGACAAAGCAAAAAATGTGTGTCTGTATTTTCAGCTTTTGTTTTCATCTTCTTAGCCTTCGTCCTACTATGTCGCCGGCACTCGGCGGACTCTGTTATATTTTAGGGCTGTGAGAAATGATAATTTGTGGCTTTATGAGTAAATAATAATATAGCAAACAGTTAAATAGGTAGCTGTGGTTTAGTGTGGATTTGTACTGTTTAGTTATAAAAAGAAAGGGGTCATGGTTTTTTTGTGGTTGGGATGTTGTCTCTTTGGTTTTTTACGGGGCATTTATATTGTGAATATTTTCTGGACAAATGATTATTTTCAGCTATAATGTCGAGGCGTAGAGGGGTGGTTCTGTCACTTCCCTCCTATCTGTCGAAATATGGGTGAATAAATCTGGTAGTTCGTTTTCCTAACTTTTTTTTTAATAATAGAAAATAAATTCTGGTTCATCTTCCCTATTGATTATTCTATTGGTGAAGTCTTTATTCTTTTTGTCTTGGTAAAATCAGAGATGAGTAAGTTGCTTTACGAGCAGGCTCACTGGAGAGGTTGATAGTACTGTTATTTTGTGGATCTAGATCTGGCTTGATTTCTGTTACATATGATGGAAGTTTGGGTGCCTTGAGCTTTCAGAGATCTTTCTGGTACAAATTCTTGAATGGCTCAGTAACAAGGAGAAAAAGAAAAAAAAATGTATTTATTTATGACTTTTTTCTATGGTCTGCAGAGGGGGAGAAGGGTGAACGTGGTATTTTAGCTACAAGTCAAATACCCTAAGCAGGACTATTTATTTTAATTTAATATTTTGGTGGGCGGTGGAAGATAGTAGTTTCTGAATGATTCAGGTGGAACGGAAGGGAAAAATCACAAATAGGGGAGATGAAACTGGTTTTGTTGTTGGAGAAGAATTAGGAAATAGGGGAAAAAGAGAGAAAATCCAGGTACCTACTGTTACACTTGTCAAACTATCTTAGCACCAAAGGACTATGGTTTATCCCAGTTATCTATCTGATCTGATGCTCAACGAATTTTAGTTCTTAAGCTATATTTGTCTTTTGATGGCCGTGATTAAGTAGAGGTTGTAACTTGCAGAATGTTGGAAGCTGAATTCCAGTTTACTATTTCAAATGATTTAATTGGTTTTTGAGTCTAAAAGCTTCGACAAGGTAACAAAAATTGAAATAGCAGGTCGAGGTTTTGGTCGTTTCCTAAGCCGTAAGTGATGCACCTACCCAATAAGATGAGCAATTTGGTGGATTGGGAGGTTGACCAAAACACAACATATATAGCTGATGAAGGTCTTTTTCCTCTCACTTGTGTAGAAATATGAAGGCAGAAAGTAAATTGCCATGAGAGATCCCTGCACACCCCCACCCTCCAAAAGAAAAAGGAAGATGAACAAGATATAGTTGATTCGGCGAGAAACTAAAATTTGTAGCTTCTTCCTAAAAGCAGAAAAACTACTTCTGCTCTATTTTGGCCAAACAAAGAAGCACCTCATATTTTAAAATAAATATAGTCAGACCTCTCTATAACAATATCTATATATAATAATCATTCGCTATAAAAGTCAAATTTTTTTCGAAACTAATTTGTATGTCCTCTATAACAACACTTCGCTATAACAGTCAAAAAATATCATAACAAACAAAACTTTTATAGAGAGGTTTGGTTGTATATTTTTTTCTATTTCTATTATATAGAAAAGGAAAGATGGTCAACCAAGGGCATATATGTCATTTCGAAAAAAATTATTGTATTGTTTGCATTTTTTAAATGCATATTGTGTCCTCCTTGATATACGTGGAACCCACATTCCCTTGATCACATCACTCCTTTAAAAGTTTAAATGTAATGTAGATTAGACTACTTTTGCATAGAGTTGCTCCATGCAAATACTCATTTTGAATATTTTTTTCTCATTTGATAAAATATTAATTTTTGTTTTAGTCAACTAAAAGTTTTCACAGAAAAAGTAAATTTAATTTTTAAATAATAAAGCAACAAAAAAAATATAGATAAATATTTACAAGATTTTCATATTTACCCATACTATTTTAACACAATTTAAAAAATAAATTTAAAAGGTTTTCATGTATTCACACTATTTGAAGGCGATTTCAAACCTAAAAGTTTTATATTCAAAAGTAATTTTAAAAACTATAGTTTGTTAAACCTTAAAAGTTAATTTAAGTGATGATATTTGTTCATATGTTCTAGGAGGTTATCTCTTCTGTACTTAATTGATGTGAAAATTTGATTTATATGGTTTGAACTCCATTCTTCCATGATAAGTTTTCAACAGTCTATAAATTGTCTTAAAATATTTTATATTATTTCTTTATAAAAGTTAACATATGATAAATCTATAGAAAAAATAAAAATATTTCTCTTATATCCTTAATTAAGAATATAAAAATCCCTATAATTTATATAGACTTCTATCAGATATTTGTTATCTTATCACCAGTAACATCATTTTAATCGAGTTATAATAAAATATAATTTGAACTACTATATTGAATTATTACAATTTATATCATGTTAATATTTGTTTAGTGTAGTTGGTTCTCTTTGTTTAAAGTAGTAAATTGCCTCTTTAGGGATGCAAGTCCCCTTGGAAGTTCTCTTTGTTGACTATACTAAAGATTTCTCTTGATTTTGTTGTATACAAGACATAAAGTAAAATCATAAGGTTTTTTTTAACTTTTCTCGTATTGTAAAGAATGATGTTGTTCGTTTTAACTTTCATCGGGTAGTTGATTGTTCCCACTATTAAAACACTTGCAAGACCAAATTGAATGTATTCATCAGGGCAAATCTCATTTTTACTGAAGTAGGAAGTGGTAATTGGCCCAAATAACAATGGGGTAAAGTTGCTGTTAGACGTTGAGACCGGAACTTTCTACAGGTTTAGCGGGAAGAGAACCGATTTCCCTTTGAGAGGGGGTAGATACTTGAGTGAATTGACAATATGTATGTGATACAAAGAAAAACCATTAAACCTCAAAATTGATTTCATCGTCATAGAAATTCGGTTATAAGGTTTCCTAATTTGGTAATTGATCTTGCCCAACTATGCCTTATAAAAGGATACGCGGACGTTGCAAATATAATCTGAGTATTTATGCCCAGAGTCGAACCCACAGGGAATTAACCTATCAATTACTTTCGTTGGACTTACTAAATTCTACGGAATCAACTTCCCCAAACGTTGTAAATAACAGTTGATGGTATTGCTAATAACTAAAACTACAAGTAAAGAAACAGCTGAAAACTAACTATGCTTGAGTTGTAAACAATAATGAGAAGGTTCTAAGGTACTGATTTCCCCTAATGATGGAATCCCTTCTGTTTATGCTTCATATAGATTCACCAAAACATCTCTATCAATCATGAGCACTCCTTTTACCGTAAATCTCTCCCGAGTAATCACGATAATTTACTAGACGCACTCTCCCGAGATATGCTAGCTGGCTTTGTTTATTACAGCTCACTTTAGATTGCACCCAAGGCTTCGTTATCCCTAATCCCGCCTTGAAACCCGCAGTTATAGATCCCTCTTATACTTTATGCACTCTCTCCCGAGTTATGCACACTAAATAGGCACAGCTAATTGAGGATCCTGTCAATTAACTACAACAAACGCGTAGTTGAACAAATAGAGATTAAACTGGCAAACAATATTAACATAATCAAGAAGTTCATCCTTCAATAGGTTCCATCAAACCCCTAGACAAAGGATTTAGCTACTCATACTAGTGTTCATCACAATAATATTCAAATTCATCACAAATCGTAACAACAAAAGAAAGAAAAGAAGAACTCGTTGGTGAATTATCCTCCTTGCCTCCTGCCTCTCTTTTTCTTCCACTACACTATGAAAAACTTGATAATACATCCTTGGGCGAGCTTGACCTTCTATAGGTTAAGTGAATTTTTTTCCAGACTTCCAAGTTTACCCCTGAAAATTGGTCTTCCGGAACTGGACTAGCGCGGGCGCGCTAAGGCCGCGCTAATGCCCGCGCTAGTGGGGTTTTATTCTGCCTCTGATGACTGGACTAGCGCGGGCGCGCTAAAGCCGCGCTAATGCCCGCGCTAGTGAGGTTTGCCTCTGCCATGCCGAACTTCATTCCCTTAATTCGCCCACTAGTTCCAATTCTTGCCCGGATCACCATCATAAGTCTTCATTTGAGTATTGCACTTCTGTGAAACACAAAAGTCACCATTAGAGCCAATTTTTCATCATTTAACTATTTTATAACATTGAAACATGAAAAAGCTGGGGTAAAAACAATCGCCAAATTATATAAATCTAGCCTATTATCAGTAATCCGGTCTGTCGCGTACTAATATTACTCCCTCCGTTCCAGTTTATGTGAACCTATTTTCTTTTTGGTCCTTTTAAAAAAGAATGACCCTTTTCTAAATTTGGAAACAATTTAGCTTAAAAATTTATTTCTACTTTTAGTGAGAAGCTTTTATAACCATACAAATACCCTGGACCATTTTTTGACTTGTTTAGAATCACAAATTTTCAAAAGTCTTTATTTTTCCTTAAACTCCGTACCTAGTATCGGAGAGAGTAGTTCAAAACATCTGACGGCTCAATCCCCTACTTCTAGTAACTTGGCTGTGCTTTTGCGCCCACAACAACGTTTCGACATGTTTTGCTATTTTTGGTATGTGTTGCAAAGTCGTCCAGTCTCATAACAGAAACGACTGCTAGCCCATGGGCCTTATCGCTGAGTAATGTTCCCCAGTATAGGGTTGCTAGAGCCTAGATGAAACAGGTCATGTTTTGGTTAGCGTTTGGCCATAGATCTCAAATTTATTTTGAAAAATTTGATTTGGGTGAAGTTTGGTTTGAAGATGAAAATGTGTTTGGACATACGTTTTCAAAACATATTTTTCAACTTTATTTTGGAAAAACATGTATATAATTCCCAAGTTTTGGATTGAGCTGATTTTGGGATTTGAAATTTGGGATTTGGGATTTGGCCAAAATATGGGCAAAATTTATGGCCAAACATGAGTTTTGAAAATAATCCCAAATTTATTTTGACAAAACTCATAGCCAAACGGGGCCTTGCTAACTCATGTTTGGCCAAGTACTTTAGCGAGAAACAGTATGTGTTTAGCTAATTAATTTGAAAAGCACTTCTAAGCAGCAATTAGTGTTCGGCCAAACTTCAAAAATAAACTTATTTTGAGAAGTGTTTTTTCTCAAAAGTACTTTGGTGAGAAACAATATGTGTTTGACTAATTAATTTGAAAGACATTTCTGAGCAGCAATTAGTATTTGACCAATCTTTTAAGAAGTGCTTTTTGGAAAAAGTTATTTTGTTCTGCTTCACCAAAACTGCTCAAAATCACTATTTTTGGCTAAACACTTCAAGTTTGAAAAAAAAAAAACACTTTTTTATATGCTTTTGGTTTTGGAGAAGCTTGCCAAACATGCTATAAAAATTTGTAGTATAAAAAATATGTATCACTTCTAGTCTAGTGTTAAAAGAAGCGAAATTTTGAATAATGAAATGAAACAGATTCAAATGGGTGTGTAACGAAGATGATTCGTATAACCAACCCAACTATATACCCAACCATCTTAGAATTGAAGCATAGTTATAATTGTTGCGTCAGTAAGATTACAAAGTAGCGCCTCTATGGATGATAGAATATGGGGTGCAGCCGTCTGAACCGTTGAACATAGAGATCTCAGAAATACGTTATCCAGCATTAATAGCAAGTTACAGAGTTTTATTTAACAAACACTATATACAACACTAGTTGGTTTGTCTAATCTACAAAGATTATTACCGCTACCCCAAAGATTTTAACAAACTAGCAAGTTGTTGGATGGATGGATCCCCAGCTTATTTGAGTAGATCCTATTCTAAAGCTAGCTTCTTTTTGCTATTTATATCATCATCAGGCTAATATAACCAGTGAATACTTTCCATTACTACCTTACTATAATTCTTCCAACTCATAGACAGTTAAAACTGTTAATGCTTCTTTGATGTGTCGCTTTCTTCGGTCTTGGCAAACCTTCCACGGATCCTTGGTTGACTATCAGCCAATGCCTTCCTGCAAGCATACTGCAAAACACACAACAGAAATACTGTGAGTCTATTGCTGACGGAAGAGCTGCACGAGTCAATTCGCCTTTGCTGTTCTACAACCAAATGTGTCACTACATGCACACTACTACAGAGAGAAGCTCTAGTAGTCTGTCCGTCTTCTTACGGAATATTTTATGAACAGTTGGTTCATTTCCATTCGATTTCACTTTCTAAGGTTTGGAAGTGCAACACCGAGCTAAATGACATAATTAAACAAATAAGAGTTTTTCAATAATACCTTGATTTTTCTGCCAAAATTCCTTTTATTCTTCTTGCTCCGATATCTGGAGAGCTTTTCCTTGCGAATTTCAGAACTGGAACATCCGCCAATTTGTGGTTGACCCAGTGGAGAATGGATCAGATTTATGTTGCCATTACCCAGAGTCTGCAGTAAAAGCTCAGTATCAGTGACCGAGCCTATTTCTCTTGAATAAGCCAAAAACATCTATACATTTCTCGGCTGGTACTTCATAGCGAACCAACAAATGCAGGCGACTCAATCAAAGGGTACAAACCAGTGACAGCTATGGCTCTCAGCCACTTGCTACAAATAGAGAGGAGGTGGATAGTACTTTCCTCATCCCGAGATTTTGCACATCCCCCCAGCTAACAATACGTCTAAAATGACGGAGAAAAAAATTATATAGAGGAAGTGATCAAGGAGAAAATAGTGATAACCAGATAACAGCATCAACAAACGCTGGAGTTCACTAGTTTGACTTAAAAGGCCTCTGATTAACCAGTTCACTTAGTCAAAGGATCCATTATCTTTTTCAGAATCTCATTGAATTCAATACCTTCTTTATATAATTACTGGAGGAAGCTTCATATTACTAAAACATGGATCTTCCAACTATCTTGTTCTTACTCTCAAAATTCAATAAATGACTCTAGATCATAACATCTATATTTTCCTAATGTAAAGGATTGACTGTAAGATCTTTCCTTCACCTCTGACTCGACGTTAACAAGCAAACATAGATACCAGGCCAACCGAGCAAGAAAGAAAAGGGATATCCATTGTTTACAGAATAAAGAATATTATTTCTAATTTATCAGAAAAAGATAAAATGAAAGAAAGGTGGAACACAAACCAATCATAATTGAAACAACACACTAGAGTACTTAAAAATTGACCTTTATGTCTCCTTCACTGTATGCTCTTCGCATACCATAAACAGCTCCAAAGTCCATTCCACCAAAATCTATAAAATTGGGCCTCATTGAAGCCCCGTGTATCCACTCCATGGAGGTTAAAGACCCTGAACTAATACTTTTCTGGAAAGATACTTGAGAAACCAAGTTCTCATCTGCAGTCAGGTTTTCGTCGGCCTTCACAATAGGAAGTTTCATGTCCAAGACTTCAGAGAACGGTATATCAATTGCATCTTTGTCAAATAGGTCTTTTTTGCATTCATAGAAAACTTCACTCAGGAGTTCTTCATTCTCAAACGAAGTTTCTAGATCCGAAACTTTGAGTCCTTGCGGCGAGATGGCATCTTCTGCACAAGAAATCATTGAAATAGCAGCAGTCATAGGATCAAGGCCCATCAATGGTTCTTCAATAATTGGTTGTGGAGCTTTAAAGAGATCCCCTTCTCCCCCGAGGTCATATTCCGATATGTTGGATCCCTGTCGAGATTACTCACATGAGAATTCAAAATCGAAGCTTTACAGAACGTGACAAAGAAAACACTTCAAGATTATCAAAGAAAGATCTGGTCTGAACACGTAAATTTAGCACAGAACCAAGATCAAAGGCATAGATCTGTCAAATCAACACAGTGTTAAATGTCATACATTGATGCTTCATGGTGAGGAGTTTAACTAAAATACACTGAGCAATAGCAATAAAGTAGACCAGAAAGTGAAAATCATTACTCAAATGCTATCAGACTTTCAAGATAACTCAAACCTGACATATGTTAATACCATACACCATCACTTTATAGCAAATGAAAGGGACTCGATATTTATGTCATGGCAGAAGCACAAAAATAAACCACATGAGCTTTCATATCTCGTTAATCATACGGTACCAGGGAGATTTGCTCAAAGCTCACCATCAGGAACTTCTGATAAAATAAAGTGCAAAGATTCTTGTCTTTTTAAAAGAAAAAACAACACAGAAGGATTCTTGTGACGAACAGCGATAGATAATGGCAGCCCTTGTTTATTCTCTGTTATGTATATAAAGTAAATAAGAGGTGGAGTAGAAGAACCAAACAGCTTTCTAAGTAATTCAGCATGCACACACCCCGAGAAGGAAAAAAGGGAAAGATTGAGAGGGATAGAGAGCACATTCATACAGATGGTGGAACCTAGATAATGTCCATTAAGTTAAACAAACCTGGAAAAGAACAACACCAACAACTAATGACAAGAGAATCAGCTATTGTCATTTGTGCATTTCAAGCAAAGATAAGATCAGACCGAATCAACCATGAATTCGATATATTTCCATGTAAAAAGAACTTATTTTAATAGTGTGCTGAGACCAACTAGGTTCTCTTACTACCTTCTGAAAGTTACTAACTTTAACCTTTAAGCTCCCAAATGAAAGTTTCCGCAATGTTATCCTCCCTCTTCAAAGAATCAGCACAAAAACCAAACAGAACTCCCTATCCTCTAAATAACAAAGGTAAAACTTAACTTTTGCTTTTCTCTTTTTCCTTCTTTTCCAACTTTTTCAATATTTCAACTCTTTAAGTGGGGTGAAAAGTGAGGCCTTAACGACAACTTGGCCGCCATAAAAGGAAAATGAAGAATCAGAAAGGGAAACATATGGGAAGTAACTCGTGGCCACTTATTTTTTTTTTTTAATATGAAGATAAAGAGAATAATGAACACGGCAACTCATGATTTTGATATTCTGCCTTCTATCTCTTTGTTCAACATACAGATCTAGCACAAGTCATGAACTCACATGCTTTACAGTTATACTCTATATACCACCATAAGACATCATATTATATATTTCTAAGCAACAATTCAACTTTTCTGTTTGGAGAGGAGAGTTACACACTTACACTCAACTATTTACTAAAGACAATCAATTGAAAAAGGGGAAGAAATTAACATAAAAAGGTTGGTTCTTTGTCCTTCATTTCTCCAATTACTTAGAAAAAAACTAAAAAGAGGAGTAAAAATTGATTCTTTAACCTTCATTTCACAAATTACTAGTAAAAAAATTGGAACATAGAAAGAAAGCTTAAACCCCACAAAAGAATAAGATGCAGTAGAAGGGATTGGACTCTAAAAACCATGATTTCACCTAAAAAACTTCAGACTTGACACAAGACATAAAATCAGTAACCCTAATTTTATCCACTTGAAAAGCCAAGAATGAAAACCCACTAACCCTAAAGTCTACATCATCTCTCACATTTCAAAGTTCAAATCTTTTTCCAATTTTAATTCAATCAGAAAAATGCCAAACAAATAGAAAAAGGGGTTTAACTACCATTGAGGCATTAGGTTCGTGAGAGGAACAGAAGTCTTCAAATTGTTGAACTTCAGAAGGGAAAGTCTGAAAATAAGGGAACATTAGCCCTGTCTCTGCATACATTTTTTTTCTCTTTTACACAACAAGTCGTCTCTCTTGTTCCTATGTGTCAATAGAATGAGGAAGGAGATAGTTCAATGAAGCAGAGGGGCATTTTATAGGTGTCAAAAACAGAGCTAAAAACAAAACACAGCAGAATGAGAAACAGCCGTATTGAAAGAGAGAGAAGAGAGAGTGTAAAAAGAGGGGTTGAAAAAGAAAGAATCTGATTTTGGCTGCTTCTTCGAGTCTTCATTCAAGAAAGAGAATTTTAGCAATTAAAAAAAAGAGTTTTTATTTTTCTAACGAATTTTTTAATGACAACAACAACACATAAAATCCCATCAGTGGAGTCTGAGAACGATAAAAATTTATTTTGAAAAATCTGATTTGGGTAAAGTTTGGTTTGAAGATGAAAATGTGTTTGGACATACGTTTTCAAAACATATTTTCCAACTTTATTTTGAAAAAACATGTATATAATTCCCAAGTTTTGGGATTTTGGCCCAAAATCAGCAATTGGGGTGATTTTGGGATTTAGGGTTTGGGATTTGGTCAAAATGTGGGCAAAATTTATGGCCAAACATGAGTTTTGAAAATAAATCCCAAATTTCTTTTGACAAAACTCATGGCCAAACGGGTCATAAGAGTAGAGAAATTGTTTCTGAAAGACTGAAAATAAAAAGACAGAAGGAGGGAGAATATTAATTTCACCACAGAAATCACAGGAAAAATAGGAACAACATGATGAATTAAATTTTTAATGATGTAATTATACTAAAAGCTAGTACCTATAAAAAGTCATTTTCTAGGTTTAAGTTCAAGTTGATGAATTAAATTCGATACAAATATAACGGAATTGACAGATTAAATAGGTAGGTTAATCTCTGGCAAGTCTATACAAATTAGCTACCACATGACTTGATTTCCCTAATGTCCCACATGACAAATATTTTATTGTACTATTTACCATTATACTAATTACTGTACTATAAATATCGTATATATATACAGACAAAATACATGTGAATGAAACTAGGACGACAGAAGAATAAATGCTAGTTACCGAACAATTTATTAGCTATTATAATAGATTGGTTATTCAGATTAGTTTGTTTACGAAATGTTTCTTTGAGATTTCTGGTCATAACATTTAGCTAGCGTTTAGTCATAAGTTTTGCTGAAATATGGAAAAATAATTTTTGAAGTAATTTTGAAAATTAAAATTATATTTGGACATGCATTTTATTAGAAAAAATTAAAATTTTATGACTGGAAGAAAAAAATACATCCGAAAATTACCCTAAACTAGATTTTAGGAACTTGAAAAAAATTTAATTTTTTTTTCAAAAACTGGTCTTAATGTATGAACAAACAATGTTTTAAAAAAAAAATAAAAAAAAAAGTTGCCAACATTTATGGCCAAAGGAGAGCTTATTTTATTGAGGTTTTCATTATCTACAACAACAGCAAAAAAAATAGTAAAATCTCGCAAGTGAGATCTGAAAAGGTAGTGTATATTTCCAATATAACCTCAACATACAAATAAATTCAAAAGGAAATAATAACACAAATAGTAACAAAAAAAAGACGTTGTTTGAATAACAAACCCTGCTTTGTTGTAGTGTTTGAGTAACAAACTCGTAGAATTGCAGCAAGCATACGCTCTACATAGTACTTTGTTTCAATGTACATGGCGGGCGGAGATCGGGATAAGGAGTTTTAAAAAATGAAGGTGTTTGCTCAAAAGTTATCACATACCTTATGAGTATATAACAATATAAATAAATCACGGGAAAATCATAGCAAACCGTAATAATCCGTTGGACCAAATGAAGGAAACGGAAATAAGTACTCAGAGTTAGGAGGAGAAACATTAAGATTCTTTATTGATAATATTGATTTGGCCTGCCTCTCCATGAAGAGGTTCAGAGCCTTACAATGGTGTTTTTCTCTCTCACAATATGGGTATCATTGTGTTTTTTCTCTCTCCCCCGGATAGTGACCGAGAAGCAGCCCCCTTTCCAGGGTTTTCTCTCTTGGTATTTATAGCTGTGAGCTGGCAATAAGTGGCCGTGACCACGTTGGGATTTCGCCTTCATGGTGGCGGATGGGCCGTGGCCTTGTTGATCGAATCAGATGAGGGTTGAATATCGTTAATTCTAAGTGGTCGTGCCACTAATTAATCATGAATTAGCTTAAGACGGGATTAGCTTCGTTAATTATCGTGGGGTCGGATTCTGACCCATACAGTTAGTCCCTCCGCTTATTGAGGTCGTGCCTTGGCCGAGCTCGATGAGTGGATTTCATCGACTGTAGTTTGAGAAACTTGGATAGGAAGGTCGACCGTCGCTTCGGTCGAGGCCGAATTCTCTTTGGCGATGGCTCTTAGCCTTGTAGAGTGTTAGTGTTTTGTTATTGTGCTATCAAGTCGTCGTTCGATCGAGGTCGAACTCTCCTCCTTGGCGAGGGCGCTTGACCCTTTAACTTAAATCGAGTGAGGTCGAGCTTTGTGGTGCTCTGATCCTTACGTTTGTTTGGGAGCGTAACCGTCGACCATGGTGGACGGGTCATATGTTGTGCAGCCGAAGGGAGTAGGGGTACACTGGATACGTGTTTGGCGACGTCCATCGTTCTGAAGGCGCACAGAACATCCTCTCGGCGTTCATGGGTTGTTGCAACCGTTTCGCAGGTGAGACGCCAGTTGGCGACTGAAAAGCCGCTTCACGGAGCCTGTCATAACGACGCGTGTTTCTGCAGATCCGAATCGGTTTGCGGTTGGTCATGTAGTTAATGAAGGCTATTGGGGCTTGTGAAAGCCACTTGTGTTGCTTATAAATAAGGGCTGACCCATACATTTTTATATTCTCATTGTTTGCTAGAGAGATTCTGAAGAAGCTTTTCTTCCTGCTAATTCACCTTCATCTTTGTTCTTCGATTTATATAACTTCCGTCTTCGTCCCTCAAACTTTGTTTCATTCTCATTATTGACTCAACAATGGCAGGCAGTTCTTCCCAAAACATTCTTCCGACGGGTCTTCCGGTTAACTCTCCGGTGATTGAAGGGCCATCTCCGGCAATGGGCGGTGCAGAACTGGTAGAGACTGATGAAGTTCCATCAGTTGATGAGATAGTATCTCTGCCCGGAGGTCCGATGACTGATTTCACCGCGGATGGCGGGGAGGATCAGGTGGATGAAGCCCCATTAATGGGGGAGATTGGGATGGCCCAACTACGGAAACAAGGGGTCATCCCCGGCTACGCTGACGTCGTTCTTGCTAGAAGCGAGGAGAGGGTCCACACCGACCGCAGGGGATACTGCATTTTTTACGCCTATCCCTTCAAGTTGGGGTTTAAGATCCCGCTCCCAATGCTGGTGGTTGATTTCTGTCGTTATTACGGGGTGTGCCCGGGTCAGCTTGCTCCTTCTCTTTACAAATTGCTAGCAATGTTTATCAAATATGCAGAACTGGCCGGTAGGGAGGTCACGTTGCAGCATGTGCTTAGTCTCTACGCTCCCCAGAGGGTTCGCGGTACCATGATTCAAGCATGCCCTCGTGGGTCGAGGGTCCTTACTGCAAAACTGGATGACGAGGTCGACCCTCGCCCTTTTGAGCACTTCTTCTACATCAGGACTGAACATTCAGTGGCGTGCTCTGCTGGGTTCCCAGAGGCTTGGAATCATGCACATAAGTTATTTTGCCGTCGAATTCTTTTTTTTTACCCCTCCTTACGTCTTGTGCTCGTAAGCGTTAACTCGTGTCAATTTTGTAGCTGAAAAGTTGCCGCCGGCTCCGTTGGCTGGGATTCGTGAGTGGGTTGAGGCCATGCTCCCCTATACGGTGGGGATCCGCACATGGGCATCTTTCTGGGAGAGGCATGGCCGTAGGCCTGTGGCAGGTAAAAAATTGATTTCTTCTTCTGTTCCGCTTTGTCTCAACTCTATTCATCAACTTTGTTTTTCTGTGATCAGGGAGGGCACGCCGCGTCAGGGCCCCTCAGTTGGCCTTCCGTCGGTCGGGTGCAATTTGCTCGACTTACTGCGGCGCCGGTGTCGCGCCCAATACCGAGGGTGGCATCAGTTGAATCTTCAGCGGTTCCTTCTCCAACACGAGCCGCTCTTCGGGACGAGGGGCCATCGGGGGTTGTGTGCCCTAGAGCGGATTCGCCATCAGATGGGGAGGAGGAGAGGCCATTGCTAAGGCGTAGGGTCGTGTTCATGCCGGCTCCTCCTGCGGTAATTAATTTGGACTCCCCCCCGGCGGATGCGGAGCGGAGTGTG